TCCTTTTGGCCGGTATTACCGAAGAAAATAGTACCGTCCGACGGGACATCCTGAGCGTTAGCAACATTTGTTAGGAGGTATATCATATCTGGGTTTTTTATTGTTAACCGGTGTTGTAGAACTTGATTTCTGTAGGTTTCTACAAGCTTAGGGTAACTGTATAGGAATATTTTTATTCATAAAAGTAAAAACTTGCAAGAGGTGACAGGCCGCACATCTTCACCGGCGTGAAACCTTTGAAACCTTTTACATATTGCTCCATTGAGGAGACATAATAGTCTTTATTGAGGATATCAATTTCACTGATAAGTGATTTACAAAAGAGTCCTCAAAAATTAAAAAAGAACAAAAAGGAAAAATAAAGACTAATATATGAATGTATAAAAATTAAACTAAAAACTATTTACATTTCTTAACACTCTTTTAAAACTAGCTAATGATGGGCTTTGTCTGATTGAAAGGTCTAATTTATTCCAATCGTTTGAGGCAAAGTTTGTCGAGGTCCAATGGCCCCGGTTCCTATTAGATGCACTCTTACGGATATTGGTTTTACATCTAGTGTTATAATCATGTTTATCCTTATTGAATTCAATATTAAAACGATGTGAAAAGGCAAAGGCAAAAGTAACTGAATAGGCTGCGCATTTTACTGCGATGATCATCTTCACTTTCATACCTTCATCCGCAGTTCAAAACAATTTATGAATCATTTCATATATTTCAATTCGTGCTTACAAGATCTCCATAATTTATGTAAACGCAACCTTTTTATGGAACCCTCATTCAAGGCCAGAACTAACACTAACCGCCAAACGGAAACTGCCTCATGCGAACACTTTTAAAATTTACGCGTTAGTTTTAAAGGCCTCACTGGATCTGGATGAGGTTAAATTCAAATGTAAGCGAAACACTTGCAATATTTGAAAGAGCACTTGAGCAACACGATACAATACTGGGAACTAAATACTTAAACAATGTCTTAAAAATAAAGCTATTTTTTATTTCCCTCTGAGACACCTGGAGAATAAAATTCTCACAGAGCCACAGCCTAAAAAGGCTAAGCTGCTCTGTTGCATCAGGAAGGCCAAACTGTTTTACTTGATGCTGGACATGCACTATCATCAATGTTTTCTTTAGGATTAGTTTTGTTTGTAAAATGAAAGGGTGGTCATCACCATCTTCTCTCAACAATACTAAAATGCATTCAAGGAAGTTCTTAACAATTATACCATCTATTATTGATCACAAGTTATGAATAACTTCAAGTACCTTTAAATCATCGCATAAGAAAAAAAACTCGATTTCAATTAAAGCACAAATTCTCATCATTAAACTTAAAAAGAAAAACAAATACAGACATTTCAAACTGAGATTCGAGTCACCGCAAAAACACAAAGAAGATAGTCTAAACATTAAACCTAAAACTCACAACCACCTGAGTTTGACCAAAGCTCAAAAGTGCAATTGCTTTGTTTACTAAAAATCTCTGATTCATGTGGTTACACTCCTCATACCCTTAAAACAATTAACTTCACAGATTTAATCAGACAGCGTAAAAATATCCACTATGATCCACACTTAAAAACTGAACTGTGACTGAACTGAACTATTTCAGTGCATGCGATCAGGCATAAGAAATAGTGATCTCCATCAACATTCTCCATGAACATTACACTTTCACACAATTACCAGTTATTATAAGAATTTATAAAATGATCGAGTGATCGGTGTCGACGTTAACACGTTTTTGTGCTAAAATAGTGAAGATGATACAAAGGAACGCAAAATAGACTTACCCCGCTTCGGCTGATGTTTAGAAAATTGAGAAGGACTGAAGAGCATCACCGTACAGCTGAATGCAGTCAGCGACCCTCAATAAAAATCATTTAAGCTTACATAATCAACAACGACATGAATGCCCGAGTTTCTGACTCGACCGTCATCCGCCACCGTCAGGAAATCATACGATATTGCTTCTCGAACGAATCCCTCATTTTAATTTTCCCCAATTCAGTAAGTATCTTTTCCAGATCTTCTCCTCACGACGACACGCTTTCTCTGACTTCTCTGGCCGCTTCCCGCTATATTTCCTTGTATTTGGAGGGAATTTAGTCCTTCTTTGATCGCTTCGCTTTCGCCTGCATTCCATCGGCGTATTAAAGGCTCGGGTTAAGGTTGTGGAAAAGATGAGCCGTTTTTCGACAGATGGCAAAAATAAATAGAAATTATTTCTATTTACTTTTGTCAGTTCTTTGAAAACTGAAGAAGTATGCGCATTTGGAACGAGATAGAATTATATAA